GATCGGACGGAAGCACAGTCCGTCCCATTGACTCCGGTCTCGACCAGCTCGCCCATACGAAGACGGAAGGGGCTTGAATGACACCTGGTTCGTGGTCTCACCTATCAACTGAGCAGGCCATCCCCAAGAAGCCGCTGAACACCTCACACAGTTCATAAGAATCTATCAAATCAGCCGTAGAACCATTCATACCGATCTAGAAGCGACATCACGGGACCAACGGCAATGCCACCGCACTCGGCATCGGACCGGACACGGCCCCGGATCTCCAAGCCCACATAAGTGGAGGTCTCTCGGCACCGACTCTTATTCCCGTTCGAGGGTCGATAATCCCCGGATTTCGGCGAGTATGCAACGACACGCTGCTCGACAGCATGCTATCGTCTCGGTACGGGGATCAGGGTCACAGCCTGGCATCCTGTAGCACACAGACAAGACGTCGTACAAGATGGCATTACCTCGGCTTCACAATCACCAGCTTCTCCGTCGGCTGATGGCTATGAAGCACAACTTGCCGCAACGTCGAACGACTCAACCTCCCCGAGGCATCGAGGCTCGTGGACGGCACAACGATGATGCTCTCGGAATGGACAATCACATGCCTCAAGCCGACGCCATCTTGATGATGTTGATTGCGAGGGCCTCTCGCGCATTCAACGAAAGATTGACATGCGGTAGCATTGGAAGATGCAAGTCATCGACCGCCATCAAGTTAATATCGACTCTCCGACGAACCAGTCTGGATGGCCGTCGCAAGGGCGTTGTTCTATCAGAACAGATCTCTCCGAGACGGGATGTTGCATTGCAGGTTCTGACAAAACACCATTGCTTCCCACATGTCATCCGAAGCGATGGCGGTGCATTTTGCATGTGGTTGACGCTGGCCACTGCTCACAGCAATACACGGCCAGCAACATCCCTCGCAACGTGGACCAAATACCCCAACGCCCAGAGACACCTTGTCGCCCGCATACCCATGTGACGGCCTTCGAATTGGAGAAATCAGGCGAGCACAGAAACAAACCGGGTGAAGCAGGAACTGTGTAAGTCCATTGGTCTGCTGCATGGCCGATGTCGCTTCGCCAGTATAACTCCCGCGCCGGAAAACTTGCACGATCGTCGATTCAAGCCATCTGCCATTATTAGTAGACCGGCACGAATTTCCCAATTGCGGGTTTGTGGGTTTTGCTGCCCTCATAGGCCACGATATACGACGCGAAGCATGAATTCCTCCTTGCGTCCCTTGGGTGCTGGAAGCTATGCGGACTAGCTTCTGCCTCTCGGGAGGAGTCGGAGACCCCGACACGCGCCCTCCGAGTCTTTCCTCCGCCGTGGGGCATGATTGTCGTGGTGAGGGTTAGTGTGGGGGATCTGGACGAGGCTGTGGACGCACAAAACTCTAAGCGTCAGCACGACAATCCCATGGCGGACTCGGGCAATGTCCGAAAGCCTTTCCCCAGAGAGAGCTTGCTGCAGAGGGAGACCCAATCAGGGGCGGCAATCTCTAGATGATCTTGCATCTGGCGGCACCTCGTTGGTGCCCGAGAGATGGAGGCCGGGGTAGCATATCCATCATCCATGACCATGGGGACGTCGACGAGTATCCGGCGCAAAAAAACTCGTCAGAGGAACCGGTTCCGAAATACGGAGACCAACGGAGCTTGTCGGAAGCGTGACAGCTCCAAAGTTGCATCGTGCGGGGTGCGACGCCCCCGTCTTTAGCTCCATGCGGGGCCGGGGAGGTTTGAAAGCTCTAGCCTCTAGCTCGAAAGAGCCGCCAGTGGAGCGGGCTAGCGACGCCGGGCCAGGTTCTGGAGGTGCGGGATGGCTGACATTTGCGCAAGACGGCAATCGTCCGCTGGCGGCTGGCCGGCGTTTACCCGCATCGACTCCAGTCCAACTCCAAGACGTCCATCGAGAAAGAGAGGGTGAAACATGTCGATTTGCCAGCAGCGTGTTGACGGTTCAACCGTGACGGTCAGATATGCAGAGCAAGATTGCCATTAGGTAATGTTAGGTAAGATATATTGTAGACGACGTCAGGTGCCTGGTCAGGTGCCCGGTGAACGGCCATGGTCCAAGCGGTGAGCCAGAGCCAAAGTGTTGGGTTAAGGTTGACGCGTCTGATCGTTGTTGACAAGAAGCTTGGCGGCATTTGTCCAGACGCCAAGGTTGCCAAGGCGAGAGCAGGATCGCGGGTGAAGAAGGTTGTCTCAGCACGTGTGGGAAGTCTGGGGAATCAAGATAAGCTGTTGCAACTCCGTACTACGGTGTCTCGGGGATCGAGAGATGCTGCTGTTGACGATGAACGGCGGTCCAAATTCGGTGTTGTCTAGAGTTCACCAAGTCAAAGTGCGTGGAGGACAAAAAAGTCCCGAGTTCAAACCTTGAAATCACCAACCTCAACGACATCACCGGACGGACCCCAGGACGCCCCGGCCATCGCCTAGCTCGCGATGCAGAAACCGAAGCTGACATTGCGCCGAGACGAACGCCATGCGCAATCGCAAGTACCGTGAACTTGGTCGACCAGCGGCAGGCATTGCAACCTGACGTCCATTTAACGTGGTTTCGTCTGAAGTTTCGATCTCAAGTACCATCAACAACAGACCCTGTCTGGCCCAGTGGACGGTGGGAGCAACCCTCGGGCATGACTTGTTGTGCGTGCTTCAAAACGGCCGAAACTGTGATTTGCAAGCAGAGTCGTGTTTGAGACGGGTGGGGGACGGGCGTCGAGAGGAGAGACTAGACTGGACGCGTGGAAGTCCTTGTTTCAATCCGCAGAAGATCCTCATCGAGTGTGATGAACGGCCAGGAGAGGGGGAATCCAGTCGAGTCTCAGCGACGAGACGAGCCTAGGGCTCTCGACTCCTCGAGCGGGAGGGAGCCACGACCAGGGGGTGAAAAGTTTTGGAGCGAGGCCTGGCATTCGGTACCGGTGGGTCTGCCGTCAGCGTGCGGTGTGGGTTCGCCTTGTTGTGGCTTGCCGCTAAGCGGAACCCCTGTGGAGGGATCGGGCAAAGTCGGGAGGTCGTCGTGTCTGAGGCTTGTAGGGACTCAGGGAGAGTCATGCTCGGTATGCAGTCGACGGTGTCGTTGTCAATGTGTTGTTCGCTTTGCTTATCTTGCTTAGTTGGAGATTTGGGGGCTCCGGTCCACCTCGCTCACGGGATGGTGGGAAGATGATGGGCAGCAAACGGCGCCGTATCGGGCGTTGAACACGAGTTCAGACCGCGGGATATCGCAGTACGTCCCGCGGGAGGCTTGATTCTGACGTGCTCCAGCATTTGATAGGGCGGGATATCGCCTGATGAATCTTTAACCCGATATCCCGCCGACTGCCCTCCGTCATTTCGTATCCATTGGGAGAATTCGCGAGCGTCGTCTATCCAGGCCTGGGTCTTTAGTCATATTCCAGAAGGGGACCCGGAATTTGCCAAGGGGCGAAAAGTACCTGCAGGCACCACAGCGTCGCATTAAAGACTGCATGGGTTTGGATTCCGACGGCCGACCCGGCCAAGTGCCTAGTGTAGAGCTTGTGGAAGCCTGGAAAGCCCGGAGACACCAGTGAGTGCAATGCGCACTCCCTATGCTCACAGACTGGAGGACAACGGTTCGGGACGCTGTGACAGAGACTAGCCGGAAGAGGAGGCTGGCCAACAAATGTGACGGCCGCCATTGGCTGACGATTGAAGATATCCCCCGTCGCTTTTGGTTCCTTCGTTTCAATAGTAGTTGTTGATTTGTTAGACTTTGGACATTGCGTTGGCCGGCCGAGCCCCTGGTTTTTGCTTTTCACCAAGCAATAGTGCGACGGACAAGATGGAAACATGGAACGAAGAAACTGTTGGCGTTCACGGGTCGGGGGCATGGGGGCGTCTTTCTGCAAAGCTTCGTTCGTCCCTTGTGAGCACGTCAGCGAGACAGATGGGGAATGCGACGTGCGAGGCATTGGCCAGGCTGGAGTGTCGCGTGCGCACAGCAGTGTATTCGTAGTTTGTACGCAGTGCGGACACAAGCCGTAGCGGTCCCGGGGACCGTCGGAGGGCGGGTTCGAGATTGTAGGTTGGAGGAGGCCCGGACGGGTGCTTGCTAGGTACAGCTAGCGTCGGCGAGATGTCCGGCCGGTGATGGAGAAGGAGGAAGTTCTATGGACCATGGATTCCAACTTGGACGGTTCCACCTCGCGAGGGAAGCCCAAGTGGATGTTCTCCTGTTCTTCCGGTGGAGTTGGCTCAAGGGTCGACGTCTTTGGGTGTGAGGGGGGCAGGCCGCAGGCGGGAATGGGATGCAGGTGCAAGTGCAGCAAGGCTTGACAGGGTCGAGGGCTCGAGTGCGACGACAACATACATTGGGCTGCATGGCTGACGACTTTTTTGGGGGTTGAAAGTGCCGACGGTTGACACATTGTGCCGTATTTGTCGGGGATTTCTAGTGTTTGTGCCGACGTCGCACCTCTCGCTTCTCATCGGTTGGAGGATTCTGGAGAGGCGGGAGGGATCAGACATCCCAACAAAAAGAGGTCCTTTGGGGTACAGCAGGCGGTACGGCTTAGCTGCAGCTAGGTGAAGTTTGGGTGCGTTTAGGTGCCGTGGATGATGACTGTACGTAAGACGTCTGCACAAGAGGCCGTGGACGTCTCTGCGGGCGTCTGAGTCTTTGGATCCTGTGTCGACTTTCGAGAGTTGCCGTGTCTCACTGGGGCGGAAGAGTCGATGGGCATTGGGACCAGGGCGCAAGGGGAGACGATGGTCGCTAGGTCAGGGGAAGAAAAAATAAAATAAAAAATGATGGTAAACCAAACAGAGAAAAGAATGTGGAGTGACCCAAGCACGAGAAAGCCGTAAACAATCGTGGTCGGGGGGCAGGGCCGATTGGCAGCGACGATGACTCCGCGAAATGTCCTTTTTCTGCGCATGTTCCATTCTTTGATTTGGTGAGATTCAGCGCGTAATTGTCAGAACCTGGGTACCTATGACTCTGCATCGTCAATGAGCATGGCAGGACCGATCCCGTAGTCGGAGCTGCCTTCCGTGAATCAAGTGTAGAAATAGCAGGAGCACCTGGGCACGTAGGAAGCCACGCACTTGCCCTGCTTCACTTTGGGTAGACTTCCAGTTGCTTCTTTCTTCTGAGGCCACCCAGGGGAAACAGAATCAACACTCCAGTTGACATCACCAGGTTTACGAGACCGAACTGGATCAATTTGCATCGCTCGGAAAGAAACACCACTCCACGCACATTTACACGGATAGCCCGACTCCACTCGCCGCCGGACAGACTGCCGCTGCGCCGCTGGCAACTTGCTTGGGCTGACATCCCACGCCTCCCACGCTCACTTTCACGCCCACGAACACCCTCCCACGTCGACGAAGCGAAGCTAAATCGTCCGCATTCCGTCAGCTCACCTTATCCGCCGTGTGCACTCCGTACCCTATTTCGAGTGACGGACAGCAGACCATCTCCACTGCAGCTCGTTTCCCAGGTAGGCAGGCCCCTTTCCCGGTCCTTCGTCAGCTTCCATGCCTGCTCCATCTGGCATCGCGGCATCCAAATGCAAAGACCAAGATAGCATCAAGCTTCTGCGCAATCTACGCCATTGTGAGCTGACGGAAACGGGCCGTCCACAAGCACCACTGTGTTGTTCTCTGGACTAATTCTCTGTTTGTTACGCAGAAGTGGGAATCACCTCCTGAGTCTTGGACCTCGTACTTGGTCTCCGGATACACCGTCCCGGCGTCACCACCTCTTCACCTTGCCGCCTCCCGTCGCCTCACCGACGCCCCTCTCGGCCCTCGTACACGCCCCTTGTGTCGCCTAGAGCTACCTGTACTTCGTACACGGAGAACAGGTACCCAGTTACCCCAACTTGAAAATTTTCATCGGCCTTCTCCAACTCTTCGAATTCAGCCAGAGTTGGGCACAAAGTCGGGAAAAAAACGACCATCAACAAGAAAGGAAGAAAAAAAGAAATTGCCAATTCCTAGGATCGGGTCTGGCTTCCGTCTTCTCCCACCCTCCACACCAACACCCCCGTCTCAACCCTTAACCACCCCGGTCGTCGACGGACCCTCGTCGCCCCCGTTATTCAACCACCCTGGTCTCCCGGCTCCACGCCGCACACCCTGCCACGACCTGCAGCGAACCCTCTGCACAATCGACCCCGATTCGGGTGCCAGTCTCCCTACTCTGTCGTCTGTGTACGGATACGCCTGGGCGGAAACCTTGGAAGCACATCATACAGTTGGATTCGAATCAAAGCTTGGAGCTCCAGCGCACGCTCGACCTGCTACGCAATCCGCACGCCCGCCATCCCATCTTCTGCGCCGTCCCATCCCTCCATCGCTTTCCCAATTCTCGTTCCTCGTCCGCCCGTCTCCCGTCCCCCGTCCCCAGGCTTCGCTCGTCCGTCGTCCAGGCAAGTACCCGGTACCTCGACGCCTCTGCCGGCGCCTGGCCTTGCTGCCATCCCTCCTTTGTGAAACTGCGTTGAAACCCCCTTCTCCCTATCATTCTCAGATCCTCCGTGGCCATGGGTCTAAGTCGCTGTACCTTGCCGGGCAAGCCTCCATCGAGGACCGGACCAGTTCACAAGGTTTTAAACCGACTTTTCCTCGTCCGCGATCCAGTTGCAGGGAACACAACGCCCTTCCCCTCTGTTGGTCCATCCAATGCGACTCTTGCGACTCCACGCTCTCACCATACTCTAAATTGCCTTCCTGCGCCTTCTCCGAAAGCTGGTCTCCTGCTGCGTCCTCCTCATCAACGACTAATATCACGTTCCGGCCGGTCCCATTACACCACACGTACCACACGCACCACTACCCATCACGCTCGTCTGCTTCGCCTCGGAGCTCCTCCAACAACTACTAATTGCCTCGTTCCGTCGCCCACTCCCGCCTCCTCTTTCTTCTCCGCATCTCTCCCACCGACACATGCGCCGGTAATGTCAATGGCGTCGTATCCCTTCAGTTCAGCCAGCTCCTCAGACATCTCTACGCCCCGGTCCTCCTCGCCTTCGCCATCGTCCGTCGCCTCTGCCCGCTCCTCTCGCTCCTCTATATCTAACAAGCGCATGTCCATGTCCAGTCGCAGAATGACAGACTTCAACCCCATGTCTTCCGTCGACATCTCCGTCATTGAAGACAAGATGAGAATGGCCTCCCTCGACCAGCACCGTGGCTACTCCCAGAACACCTTTGGCGAGGTTCAGCAATATCGCAACACGGAATACGTGCCCAAGACCCAGGCTACCGCTTTCCAGATCCTGCGCGAGCCCCTCTGGAACAAAGGTGAGTTGGCCGCTTCCCCCACTTACACCGTCTGTCCGCACTGAACCTTACCGCACCTGCACGCACCGGCTTCCCCCAACATGGCGTATCCCTTCAGTTTGCACCCTTCTATATAGCCTCCCTCTTTTTTTCCTCCCACAACATCCCCAACTCCTCGCTCCATCCCCTCCCATGGCTTCTTCACTCACTGGGCGCGCTCGTCGTCTTCCCTCACCACTGCCTCGCCTGCTCAATCCTCTGCCTCGTGCTCCCATCTCCTCCTCCAAACTAACCGCCATGGTCGAATCAGGTCTCTCCTTCACGCCCGAAGAGCGCGTCAACAGAAACCTCACCGGCCTCATCCCTCACACCATGGAGAGCCTCCAGACGCAATGCCAGCGGGCCATGAAGATGATCAACACCCGCCAGACCGACGTCGACAAGTATCTCTACCTGTCCTCGCTCAAGGCCCAAAACTTTGACCTCTTCTACCGCCTGCTCATTGACAACGTCCGCGAGCTCATGCCCTTGGTCTACACTCCCACCATTGGCGATGTCTGCCTGCAATACTCTACCCTCTACACCCGCCCGGAGGCTCTGTACATTTCCATCAAGCAGCGAAAGTCCATCCGCACCATGCTCCGCAACTGGCCCTACCCCAACCCCCAGATCTGCGTCGTTACCGACGGTTCCCGCATTCTGGGTCTTGGTGACCTCGGTGTCAACGGTGTTGGTATCTCTGTAGGTCTGCCGTCCCTCTATATCTGACAACACTAACAACCCCAGATTGGCAAGCTCGCTCTGTACACTGGTGCCGCCGGTATCCACCCCGAAAACACCCTGCCCATTGTCCTCGACACCGGCACCAACAACGAGACCAACCTCAAGGACCCCTTCTACCTGGGCATCCGCTCCAAGCGTGTGTCCGTCGCCGAGCAGCAGGCGTTCATGGACGAGTTCATGGAGGCCGTCACCGAGGTCTACCCCGAGATGACTGTCCAGTTTGAGGACTTTGAGTCCGAAAAGGCCTTCAACTACCTCGACCGCTACCGCGACAAGTACCGCTGCTTCAACGACGACATCCAGGGAACTGGTGCCGTCGTCTTGGCTGGCTACATCAACGCCGTCGAGCTCTCTGGCGTTCCCCTCGAGGAGCAGCGCCTGGTCTTCATGGGCGCCGGTTCCGCCGGTGTCGGTGTCGCCAAGCAGCTCGTCGAGTACTACACCAAGCGCGGCCTCAGCGAGCAGGTCGCCAGGGACAAGTTCTGGCTGGTCGACACCAAGGGTCTCGTCACCAAGGACCGCGGTGACAAGCTCGCCGAGCACAAGAAGTACTTTGCCCGTACCGACAACAACGGCCACCAGTTCCGCACCCTCGAGGAGGTGATTGAGTACGTCAAGCCCACCGCTCTCGTCGGTCTCACCGCCACCTTTGGCGTCTTCACCGAGTCCGTCGTCCGCGCCCTCAAGGCCTCTGTCGACTCTGGCGGTCTTGGCCGCCGCCCCGTCCTCTTCCCCCTCAGCAACCCCCTCACCAAGGCCGAGTGCACTTTCGAGCAGGCCGTCCAGTGGACCGACGGCACCGTCATCTTCGCCTCCGGCTCCCCGTTCTCCCCCTTCACCATGAAGAGCCCCGACGGCCAGGCCATTACCTACCACCCCAACCAGGGCAACAACGTCTACGTCTTCCCCGGTCTCGGTCTCGGTGCCATCCTCGCCAAGGCCTCCAAGGTCACCGACGACATGGTCTACACCTCGGCTGCCGCTCTCGCCGCGTCCCTCAACGTTGACGAGATCCACAAGGGTCTCATCTACCCCCGCATTGAGCGTGTCCGTGACGCCAGCGTCATTGTCGCCCGCGAGGTCATGAAGTCCGCCCGCAGAGCCGGCGTCTCCAAGCTTCCCGAGTCCCAATGGGTCGAGTGGGAGGAGTGGGGTGACGTTGCCCTGGACGCCTGGATCAAGGAGCGCGTCTACGACCCCGTCAGCTTCTCCGAGAAGAGCCGAATTTGAACCACACCCCCCAAAAGATTGTGCGATGGATGACTTGCATTTATGGATCAAAAGGGCTTGGACAGGGAATACCTGAGACGTTCTCAGAGCGAAATTGGTTTTTTTTTCGGCGTTGGGGTAGGCATCAAGGGCCTTGGCTTTCCAATCTTGCCGAGATTTGAGCGAAGGGAAACACAGACACATTTTCAACGTCACTAAAAGGACGACGACGCTTTTTTACTACGAGTACGCCCCATGTGGCCATCGTCTCCGTGACGCCTGTTCGCGTCGGAGTTTTGAATTTAGAGTAGAGGATGTGGGGGAGACAGGTTTCGCGGTAATACTTCCTGATGGAGCCATGCTACATGGAACGCGATTTAGAAATAGACTTGGATGCCTGTACGACTGTGCTGCTGTGGATGTGACTGTGATCCTGCCCAGAGTGGACAATGGACTCTAGAGAGCTTGCCGAGCTCCCGTAGGCAAAAGAGCGGAGGTGCCTCGGCTTGGAAGCTCGAGCTCGAACCCAAAAACCTGGACGACGTTGAACCAACCGTCCCCAACTTTTGCTAGGGGGCAAGGGGGTAGCGTAGATCCCCCCAAATTTTCTCTCCGCATAGGGACGAACCCCACCCGAGCTTCTGCCCCAAAAAAAGAGCACGTTCTCCAACTGGTGAACTCCGTCTGAAGTGTGTTGGGGGGAGATAGCTCGGAAGGTGTTGGGAGGGGGAGAAGGGGGGTTCACAAGTCCCGAACTAGACCGGACTGGGTAGGACAGCGCATGCTTTGTTTGCTCGGGTGGTTTTTTTTTGTACTCGGGTGCTTTTTTTCTGTATGGCTAAGTAGGTAAGCTAAGTACAGTATGTAGGTAACTTTTTGCTTGAGATGGCTGATGGAGCAGATGCGATTCGTGCGCATGATGGGCAATCTGAACCTACGTCTGCGCCTACGATTCCAGAGTCTCAGAACGAGACAATCGACGAAGTAAACCCGGGTTCTTAGAGGATGACGCTAGGGATTTTGGGTGATGAGACAACGCGTGCGTGGCTTAGGGGGGTGTTGCGTTGGCTTTTTGGTTCTCCGTCGTTGCGTTGTGTCGTGCTGGCCGGCTGGGGGGTTGGAAATCCAATCAATGTCATACGCGGACGCGTGCGATGGAAGTCAGATAGAGAGAAAGGGCAGCTAGCTATCGTCGGTTTCGCGTCGACATGTCACATCCACGCCCTCCCCATCCACCCCCGGAGCTGGAGAGGATGGTGAGAAGCCCGCTGGATAAGGGTATGCCTCGGCGAAGGAACGGAGGTTCAACGGCGTCGTCTATCCATCCTCTTCCTTTCCCCGTCCCCGCGGCTGCAGCTTCAGATTGTCAAAGGTGTTCGGGTGAAGGAAGTAGACGATACATCCAGCAGAGCCACACACAACAACAACCAACTTTACGCAGTCGAAGAGAAAACATCGGATGGTCAAAAAGCATCGACGCTCTACACCACACACGCAGAGCTCCATTCGGTCCCGCCTCGGGATTTACTCCACGGACACCCCCCTAGCTTCCCCCTCCCCCCTCTCCCACATCTCCCCAACCCGCGGCACCGTTTTCTCACCTCAGATCAGGTCCCTCGGCCGGTTCCAACCCCCATCGCGCCGGTGCCTCGGTTTAGATGTTGAGAGAGAGAGCTGTGCCATCATCCCTGTAGGGGTTGGGGAGGTCACTCGCTGCGTGGTAAGAAAACCGAGAACCCCAGTCGTTTTGCATTCGATTTCTCCCCACACCACTCCATCGGCGAAGCTTGATTACGCCGCCCGGCCCCGGTCTTCGTCTACAGTTCAGGATACTATCTGGGGATGGAGCGGGCGTGGAGTATGGTGCATGCAAGGTAAAGTTGTGGATGGGCGTGGATGGGTGGGTGGTAAGGCGGACAGGGGTGGTGGTGGTGGTGGTGAGGTGGATGGATGGATGGATGGAGGATCTGCCGTCATGCCCGTGATCCTCCGCACTTGCGTTAGTCCGGGGTTGCAACGACGTTTCTCTTCCCATGTGCGTGGCCCTACCTCATGTCAGGCCCCGGCCCCCACGCGGGACCATAGCCGGAGCTGCACTACCTTCTCCCGACCTCCTCCGACTACCGACGGAGCTCAGGACCCGATGCGACACCACCCATTTCCATCACTGCAATCTTGACCTTCACGCAACACCTCGGTAATGTAAATTGGTTTCTGGTATTTCAACTATCTGACTCTCTATGTCTAGCACATGCCCGGGCACATGTCTCAAGGCAAAGCAAAAAAGGGGTATTCGTACGAAGAATGACGGGACCGCAAAAGGAAATCCTGCGCTCGAGGGGATGATGAAGACAACCGGAAGAAAAGTGGAAAAAAACCAGGCCATGCTATGCCGTTGTGATGAAGCGTTCCCCCCTGCCTCGATATGATGTAATGAAATGTTTCCGTCATGGTATGCTTTCGACTCGTGGCGCAAAAGACATGCTCCCGACTCCAGTCGCTTGACTCCGTCCCACCGTGTCGATATCTCTTAGCACCCCAAGTCGCTGTAAACGCCAATGCAGACCCCCAGCCTACCCCTTCCGAAACACACGCTTCGTGCCGCCGACCTTGCCCATATCGCCAAACTCTGAAATCTTGCGCGTCTCGCCGCTAGCGGCACGCACCTTTTCCTTGACGCTCTCCACCCACGCCCGATTCTCCTCGCTCATCTCCACCTTGCGGCCAGTGGGTCCTGCCAGGCCAAGGAACGAGCTCTCGTCCTCTTCCCAGCTGATGTGGGAGCTCGACCGGGACCGGTTGGAGTCCTCCGACGACGGCGTTGGCGTAAACTTGTCCGGGATCGGCGGGACGGCAGGCGTGTTGGGGAGGAGCCGGGGCACCGATGAATCGCCGGCGCCAAAAGACTTTCTAGACTTTCTGACGTTGAGCGGCGTCATGGGTGACATTTCCAGCGCGGAGGCTGGCCGGCTCGGCGGGCTCGAGTTTGCGGCACGGCTGCTCGCACGCGGCAAGTCCTGGACCTTGATCTCGGCCTTTTCTACCAGCCCGGCAGAGCGCCGGCCGTGATGCGAGGCGTACTCCTTGAGGTACTCGCCGAGGTCGGCCCATCCACCCCCGACACGCACCATGACGCGCTCGCCGTGCTCGCCGACGCAGCGGATGAGAAGCTTGATGGGCGCTTCGCCGGTGGACCGCGAGAGGTGGTAGACCCTGACGTCTTGTCCGCTCCCAGGGCGTCTGGGCCTGGGGTTCTTGGCGTACGCGGGAGCAAGTGTCAACCACGGCGTCGTCGCCCGCGAAGATGTCCGCGATGTCGTCGACATGGCAGAGACGCTCCTCCGCATGGTCTCCCGGGATGGCTTCTTAAGCCTCTTGGCCGGCATCGTGGGCAGATCGGGCGGGGGCGGGTTCAAGTCCACCTTGGGCGTCGCTCTCGCCAGCTTGATGTTGGCGGGGATGGACTCTAGAATGTCGCTAATTTGCTTTCGCAGGTGGTCATCTTCCTTGTTGCCGGTCTCCCGAGGCGTTCCCATGCTGATAAAGGAGTGATCGAAGTCGTCCTCGTTGAATGACGACTCCAGAGGGAGGGCCGGCAGGAGACCCTCGTCTTGGGGCCTCACCATAGGGCTCACGCTTTCTTCTCTGTAGCTCGGCCGGAACGGGGGTGAGCTAGGAGGGCTCATGCTCATGAAGCGGTCAGCAGCCGACTTGCGGCCCAGGGTCTCGGCACGCTTCTGGCGTGGCAGAGGCGGTCTTGCGGCCCAGGGTCTCGGCACGCTTCTGGCGTGGCAGAGGCGGTGATGCTGAGACTTCGGGCATGTCGCTCGAGGCGTCTGCGAGCAGGCTCGTGTGGCCGTGGATGATTGTGGACGAGTCCGAAGCGTCACTTCCGCGTCGGTCAGGTCTGATCAGCGGTGGCAGCTGCATCTCTTCATCGTCGGGCAGAATCTCGTCCGCGTCGTCAGAGCTGGACCTGGCGTTGCTTTCAAAGACTGCTCTAAGCTTCGACACGACGGATTCCTTGCCCGACACCTTTCTTTTGGTGTTTTCTTCGTTTTGCACTTCGCCCAATGGCGTCCGCTTGGGTTTTGTAGCCTCGCTGGAGCCGTCAAGGCTGGCGACTGGCTGCGTCTTCTTCTGCGCTTGCAGTTGCAAGGGAGACAGCTCGATTGTGTCGTCCTCGGAACCGTCAGACTGCTCAGGAGTGGCTTCTTCATCAAAGGCAGGCTGGCTGTCCTCTTCCGGTGGGTTAATAGTGATGGGCACTGGCAGAGTGATGACATCGTCGTCCACAACAGGTAGGCCACTGGATTTCGTGGGCTCCGCCTCGGCCTCTTCTCTGATCACCGGTGGAAGCGCTTTCTGCTGACGCACGCTAGCCCAGTCTTCTTGCCGGATCCTCTGCTCGCCAGACGTCACCCAGTCAGCGTAGTTGCGCTCGACGGCTTCCATACGGTCGAGCCAGGCGTCGGGCAGCGTATCCTGCAGCCCCTCGAGACTGTCGAGCATGAAATCGAGGCTGCGTCCGGATTTTGTGATTTGCGTCTCCAACACCGACTTGACAACAGTGACGGCGTGTTTGAGTTGGGAGTGGGTGTCCTGGGCTCCCTCTTCAGCGAATGGCGTTCCCGCGGGAGACGACAGCACGTTCCATGCAGACTCGAGGGCGTACTCGGCCTCTGCAATGCCAGAGAGCAGGTCGGGTATGCGACGGAGGACAGAGAGGCGGATGTGCCAGACTTTGAGCAGTCGGCAGAGCTTGGACAGATTCGGCAGTGCCTGGACGATGATTGCCGTGAGGAGAGCCGTCAAGTCGTCCATTCGGTTGTAGGAAAGTGATCCGCCTCCAATGGGCCGCGTCGGGGACGTCAAGTCGTCCATTCGGTTGTAGGAAAGTGATCCGCCTCCAATGGGCCGCGTCGGGGACAACGGCGTTCCGGGTCTCGAAAGCGGAATGATGTGGGTGTGCATGACGTGGGTCTTGATTTCTTCAATGTGCAGCTCGTCCATGTCGTGAGAGATGCCGTCCACGCGCTCCTCGTACTGGGCGACGCTCTCGGCGGGTAAGCTCCCGAGGTACACCGACTTGTCGGCGTCCTCGTCAAGTTTCGTGCGCTTGGCCTCTGGCATCTCAAAGCCGGCCGAGCCGCTGGTGGAAGGCCAGGGCCAATCGGAAAGCTCCTCGAGCCATTCGTAAATCTTGCGGCTGGCCACGGCGGCGCGCATGGCGAATTCCTGTTCGTTGACGGTAGAGTTGTCGAGGCATTCCTTTAGTTCAGTGTTTGGTGTTTGGAGCATCTCGACGGCGGTCAGTGGTGTAAGGCGGCTCAAGAGGTCGTCGTTGGTTCGGGCACGGGTGGGCGAGTGCTCGTCGGAGTGGCGGTACTGGCGCCTGGCCGGGCGTAGCTGGTGGCCCGGCCCCGGGGTGATGGGCGGCGGAGGATCGGTCATGATGTTGATTGCTGAATAGTTGTTGTCGGTTGTCGAACGAGCGGTTGATCTGTCGAGTAGGCAGGCATGACCTTTGCTTCTATGAACCTGGGAAAAAGACGTCTTGGATGCGCATGGCCATGTCGTGGATCATCGGTGGTGTTTGTTGACAATCATGGACGTCCCTATCCGGCTGACAGATGTCTCGGTGGTGTCTCGCCTCTGGTCTCTGGAGGTTGCTGGAAAGAAGTCGATTGCTCCGGTTGTTGTTCGGGTGGTTGCAGGATGTTCCAGACGGCAAACGTCAGTGGTCGTAGGCGCGGCGCGGTTCCTGGATGCAAGGGAGCGCAGGGATTCAAAGGCAGCTGCGTTGCTGAAGAATAAGAAAGAACGGATAGGTGAGGTAGAGGTCGCTGGTGAGGATTCAAAGAGAGAAGCGGATCAAAGGAAGGTCGTTGGTGAAAGAAGGAGGATGTTTCGCGAGGTTAGAGAATTGAAGCTGGCGCGATGAGACGACAGATGACACTGGGGAAGAAGGGAAGGGCAAGGCGCAAAGGCAAAGGAGCAGTCGGCAAAAGGAGATTAGGCGTCTGGCGTTGTCGAAAGAAAGAGGAGATTTATTAATGAGATTTGATGGATATTGGTTGCCGCATACGGGGATGGCCAGGGACCTTGTAGTCCTTGTGCTGGGCCATCCACCATGTCCAGTGGGAATGCGGACGAAAGTCAGGTACCCGAAGGCAGGGACAGACAGTAGGCGAGGTACCTTTCGCCTGTCCTGCCACCTGGAAAGAACCTGGGCGTCGAGGTGGTCCACCAATGCGGCGATGCGTGTGGGTGATGGGGTGGAGTGGCCGCTGTTCTGGGTTAATAGGCCTCCAGAGCACCCCCGTCATGCAAACGCGCTTTCGCGGCTTTCGCCAGCCAGTCCAGCCCAGTTGGTCTCGACAATCCAACACACGCTCCTAATAATATCACAACTATCGATTCGGCCACCGACATCTCTCCACGTTCGTCCGCATCGTCCGCGTCGTCGTCGTCTGCATCGTCCGTGCCTTTCTGGCTGCTCTACAGCTGTACGGATACAGCACCTACTGCAGCTTCAACTGCCACGGCAACTCGTCTCTAGCACCGCACATCCTGACGTGTCGCGAGACGGACTCTGCGCCGTTCGCATTGGGGGCGCGTTAGAAAGAAACCGGACTGCGCGTCGCTGAGGACCCTGGTGCTATCCGCATCCTGCATAGCTGCAGAGAACATCCATGCCCTAGAGTGGTGCTATGTGATGCGTCCGCCGCATCTTGACGTCTTTCCGTGCCCGTCATGCTGGGACTTCGATGGGTGTCCCTGTCTCGAGTTGATGCAGCCACCGCCTGGGCCAGCATGCTGCCCGGGAGTCCTTGACAGACTTTGATGGGCTCTGATTCTGCATTCGCGATATTCTCGCGTTCCCAGCTAGGTTGACGTGAACACACATTGACCATCTTCCAGACACCACTCTGTGCCCTCGCACGTTCTCTCCACGACATGAGATGGCAGGCTGCACGACACTGTCGCTCGACGCTCGGATGCAGAGAGTTTCCCTGCCAGACGTGCATGTTTTGACACGGTAACATGGCCCACGGCCGTGGTCACGGACGACGAATGTCAACCCAAAGCTCTGAAAGCTGTCGGCAAGCTTCATCACTAGTGGCGAGCTGGCAAACTCAAGGCGCAGACTTTGCAGCTTGATCAGCCACGCCAGGCGGACAAAGTCAGAGCGTGGCGCCAGCCCATCGGCTGCTTCCATCGCTTCCGGCGATCATCATCCCCCCACTGCGGTCACCTTATTTGCCCTGCTATCACGCATCCAGCTGGGGCACCCGGAATGATTGGACAGAGATGCATCGCCAGCCGTCGAACCGTGGGATACTTGCATGCCTAGGAGCCTCTTCGACCTCGATTTCCAGGACGCACCAGCAGATCGCGACATATGGCCAAAGTTCATTCCATTGCCCGAGAGCCATCCACCAGACGGCCAAGACGCGACTGACTCCAGCGTACGGAGTCCGGTTCTGCTCATTTCCTCGGATTGTCCACTGAAAAAAAGTGTCCCACCCGTCGTCATTAAACAGTCGCTCGCTGGCCCGGAAACGCGCTCGGTACCATTTCGCCTGACAGCTCCCCCTGTCCCGCTACCCTGCATTCGGTTACCTCATCCTGGAGCTCTCAGATTGAACACGAGGGGTCGTTTGAGCTTGACTCTCAAGGGAGCTCCAGACGGCGGATACTGTCAAGGGAGCTCTGGACCTCCCATGTCACTGGAGTGACAGCGTTTGGACGTTGCGCCATTATCTCGCGATCGCAGCCAGTCATCATCCTGCTCACCCTGGGAATCGTGAAGTCTTGCATTCGCTAAATCTAGATTCTATGCTTGTGGCCCATCAAAGCTTCGGCGCAGCGTGCCTCCATTTCCCTATACCGGGGTACACGAAGCCAAGCTCCCGAAGACTCGTCGCGCTTCCTCCTCGCTTTTCAAACTCTTGCTTGCTCGGCCAGTAGATGCCGCGCTCCCAGAACTGCTCGTCGTGCCAGTATGGCGGTTCCTTGCCTCTCTGCGTCGACTCCGCCACCCAGTCGTGCAACATGTTGAGGTGGCGGCCGTCGTCTCCGTCGTCGAGCAGCACGTGAATGTTCTTGTCGCCGCGCCTCTTGAACAATTCGAGCTCCCATTTTTCCTGCTCCTCCACAGGCGGCAGCTTCAACCCGTTGGACCACACCGCACCGAGAGCCGCCGCTTGGTTCTCTGCCACCGGCCAGGGCACCGTCTTGACCAGCAGCCCGGCAAAGGCCAGCGTGGGGTGCTTGATGAGGAACAGGTGCTGGTACAAACCCCTGACGCCTTTGCCGGTCGTCAACAGATTTGGTTTGAGGAACTCGGGCAGAAACGGGAAGCTGAAGAAGAAGCCGGTGCAGTAGATGACGGCGTCGACGTCCTCCGCCACCGTCCCGTCCTTGTAGACGACGGCCCTTTTCTCTGGCAAGTACTCCACAATCTCTGGAACCTCCGTTGCCCCAATGTGCTCGACCTTGTCCGGCGGAGTCGCATGTCGTACAGATAGATACACCCTGTCCGAGACCGGGCTGAGCTGGCGGGCTATATCCAAGCCCGAGGGCCCGTTGCCGACGACAATCACCTTTTTGCCCGAAAAGGGCTCCGGCACGCGATAGTTCTTGGAGTGTAGGATGGCCGACGGGTGCGCCTCGTGAAAGGCCTTGATGCCCTTGACATCTGGGATGAAGGGGATGTCGTAGTGTCCGTTGGCAATGACCACGGCGTCGTACGTGTCGCTGAACTTGCGGCCGGTGACGGTGCACGCGGCCGCGAGGTCCCACCTGTCTCGGCCGTCCTCTTGTCGGAGCTCGAGCGCCGTGACCTGGTGCGAGAACTTGATGAGGTGGCGGACGTCCTTGGCGTACTCGACCAGGTAGTTGTAGATGGACTGCCGCGAGGGGAAGACCCAGGCGTCGTCCGGGAACGGCGTGTCCTTGTAGTTCATTGTTGTCTTGACCGTGTTGGCGTGCAGCGTGCCGTACATTGGTGTGGGGAACACGGGCGGCGCATCGGGCTTGCCCGGCCGGAGCGGAGGGTCCTGTGGGCAAAAGGGGTCCGTCTGCGGTACATGGCGAGACGTGGTCGGGTGCGGGCTGTAGTTCCAGACGCCGCCCACCTCGGCCTGCTGCTCGAACACGACGACGGAGTCAAAGGCTCCTTGCGCCGTGAGGTACTGAGCGGCCGCGAGACCCGTCGGCCCCGCGCCGATGATGGCGATCTTCTTGACGGTGAACGGGATTGTCATGGTCTGTGAGACATGGATGACCTTAGGTGCTATGCAACGGAAGAATGATCTAGTGGCCGCTCTTTAAACAACGGACTACAGACTTGGGACCCACGAGGTGCCAACGCGTTATATCGGCGGGAAATCACCTAATCGGTTCCTTTCGGACAGAGTGGTGGACACCGGGCGGGTAAAACGGGGACTCCCTCTGCTCCCCTACATCAACGTCGCAAAGCCAACGCAATCGGATGCTTGGGCGAGAGAGATGACAATAATGACATGTCTGCCATGGCCTGCCTCTTCTGGTCCGGAGTGAATGTCCAAAAGGTTAATCTGCGCAAGGTCGACCCATGGCAGATCGTCAGGTGACTCGGCGACGATCCGGAAGGCCAGCCGGCTCCGAAGCCCCGCTTATCGATAAGGAACCCATCCGGCAGTCACGCACACCGCCTGCTTTTTTCTGCCAAAGAGGTGTGGGGCCTTCCCGCGCAATTCGTGCAGCTCAAGCAGGAGCTTCCCTTGTTCCACATTCCATCCACACCACGAACCATGCGGTGCTACCGAATCGACCTTTGCGACCGTTTCCATCCCACATTCGTTTAGCACAACCACACCTTCGACACTGCGACAACATCCCGCTGATGCTCGACATCTCCGACTACATACCCGTCAGCCCCGCCGCGTCCCCCTCAAACTCATGACGCGATGTCTGGGGTCCCGCAACCCGCAGCGCAGCAGCAGCTCGAAGCCGCCGAGGCCATCGCGATCGCGCAACTGAGCCCCGCGCTCCAGGACCCCAAGACGCGCGTAGTTCGGGGCGTCGTGACAATCACGTGGCCCTACAGCATCGTCCGGAAAAACATTGCCTTCCTCCTCGCCGAGGCCGACTTCCGCCTGCGTCGCGCCAAGGGCCAGGTGCGCGTCGAGTTCGCCGGCTCGAGCGCCAAGGCGATTGCGGATGCGGCGCTGGGAAGCGGCGACGAGATCGCGCTGTCGCTGGACGGGGTCGAGCTCGTTGCGGACGACTCCAAGACGCGCGTTCCCGGTACGAGTTTGGAGTGGCAGCTGAGGTTCACGGAGAGGGTGCTTCTCCAGGTAGGTTGAGCGTGTGCGTTGGAGGGGGTGTTTGCTAAGACAACAAAGGCGAAAATAAGCGACTCCGAAGAGGTCAAGGTTATCGATGTCGACCACCCTGCGCAACCCGAACCAGAGCCCGAAGAGCTACCGGTGGCCATCCTCGAATCGTTTCAGGATGTCGAAGAGACCCCGGCGCCTATAGCGACACCCGCGAAAACACCTTTAAGCAAGAGATCCGCCGACCAGGGCCTGGGCGCCGACGAATTTGCGTCCCCCGCGTTCCTCAAGCGCGCTAGGGTTTCGTACGGATCGCTTTTCGATGGGGGCCTCGACATCTTTGATGAGGCGGACGACGGAGCAAAGGCCCGGGCGAAGAAGAAGCCAAAGACGGGCAGGTACAGCAGCGTTTGGACGTACGCCAGTCGAACTCCGAGCCCCGAGCCTGAAGCACCTGAGGAAGAAGACACATCAATGGGTGAGGAGCAGCCGACGATTGCCACGCCGTCACGGCCTACGATGGTGGACGGGGCCTGCCAGACAGTTGAGCAAGAGACGAGCCCCCCGAGAGATGTCCAGGTGGCGGCAGAGGCGCGGCAGGACCCTTCGTACTGGCAGACGCCGTCGAAGTCGACAATGATCGATTCAGGGGTTCAGTCTGATCTTCCTCCCAGTCCCAACATTGGGCTGACCCCGCTCGGATTTGGACCGCCGCCGCCCATGCCGATATTCACGTCCGCTCACGAGCAGTACCCGACGGCGTTTCAGCAGCCGCCTCTCGATCCGGTCTTTGGCCACGACATGGAGCCACACTACGGCGCCGAAGGCACGTTTCACGAACACCCCAGTGCATACCCGGAGGCAGGGCTTGATCACTCGCCCATGCATGGTCACTACCCTGCGACGTTCCTCGATGAGCCGCACTTTGGCCCAGACGGCGTTGTCACGTCGCAGCCGCTGACAGAAGCGATACCCGCGTACCAAGACCACCCGCAGCAGCACGATCTAGAGGCACAGCCCCACCACACAATCATGGTTGACGGGATCGCTGAGCCTCAGCAAATACCCTGGGGCCACACGTCGGCACATTACTCGAGATCGCCCGCGAAGCCTGCAGAGTCAGGTGAAGTGCATGAAGGGCGGGCGTCCAGCCCTCAGGACGCCGATGGCGAGACATGGGAAGAAGACCGCGAGCGCGAGGCGAGAGACGATGCTGAGGAAGAAGAGGCACTCAGAGTAGAGGAGGACCACATGTCGGAAGACCAAGACGGCCCCGAGGAGAACTTTGCGTCGAGAACGTACGCCGAGAGACGCCATGAGCGAGGCGAAGAAGCCGCAAGCATAGAAAAGGAGAGCAGTCCCGTGGGTAGTGGTAGCAGCAGCGAGAACAGCGAAGAGAGCGACGAGGAAGCCGAGCACGAGGCTGACGATACCGGCGGGGACTACGACATCACGCACTTCCGCAATCTCAGTAATAATCAAGATGACGACGCAGGAACAGACCTAGAATCGGACTACGGGCAAGAAGAAGAGGACGAAATCCTGGACCCCGAAGATGACGAGGAAGCGGAGGAATCCGAGGACTACGATGAGGAGGGCTACGACGAGGGGGACGAGGACGAGGACGAGGACCAGGAGAACCAACCGCCGCCTGCTGCTCCGCGAGGGGGACCACCGGTAGTCATCGACTTGCTCTCGGATTCCGAGGACGAGGGTGAAGCTCCCGCGCCACCGCCACAGCCCACGGCGGCTCCTCGGCGACAGATACCGCAGTACGATGGATCTGCCGATGAAATGGAAGATGAGGACATGGACGATCAAGAGAGCGAGGAGGGAAGTGCCAGCAACGAGGCCAGTCAACAAGGCTCGTCGCCGCAACCGTCTGATGCGGAGAGTGAAGAGGACGAGGCGTCGCAAGTCGGCACACCTACGCCGAAGCCCCGTCAGGCGGCAGTATTTTCCGCCCCGGACTTGACGACGGGGTCGATTGGCGAGGATTTCGAGACGATGAGCCCGGTAAAGCTGCCGCACATGGCGGGCGTTCCGCATAGCTCTTCCCGGCCTACCTCGCGAGGCGAGTCGGATGATCTCGAGGCGGAGCTTGAAAAGGAGCTGGAGGAGGAGATTGCGGCTGATGATGCCGGGAGTGACCGTCAGACACCGGCCCCGTCTGAGGGCATGGCTGGTGTCGAAGAGACGGGGGTTGTGCCGTCGAGTCCGTTCAATGAGGACGTTGGTCATGCAGCGCCGAAGCAGGCGGCGTCTAGTCCGTTCAACGAGGATCCTGCTGGCGATGCAACGCTGAAGCAGGCGATGTCCAGCCCAGTCAGGACCGATGTCGAGGATTCTGAGGTGCTGGGGGAGGAAACGCTCACTGTTGAGTCCCCTGTGGCTGAGGAGTCCAGCCCTGTTCGACCTGTCTCAGCCGTCGAAGCACCGGCCGTCGAGTCCCTGGCTGAGGAGTCTAGCCCGGTCCGACCCGTTGCGAAGGAGGCGGCCGTCAAGTCGATGGCCCAGGAATCTAGCCCGGTTCGGCCTGTCCCGGCTGTCGAGGAGGCTGAATCCAGCCCCGTTCGGCCCGTCGCCGCTACCAAGAAGAAACCTGCCGTTAAGCCGATGGCTAAAGAATCCAGCCCCGTCCGGCCTGTTCCGGTTACTGAGGAAGAATCTAGCCCCGTTCGGCCGGTCACCGCTACCAAGAAGGGAGCTGCCGTCAAGGTCCCCATGGCTGCAGAGTCCAGCCCCGTCCGGCCTGTCCCGGTCGTTGAAGAGGAATCTAGCCCCGTTCGGCCTGTCTCAGCAGCGAAGGCGGAACCAACCGTTGAGTCTCCCGTAGCTGAGGTGTCCAGCCCCGTTCGGGCTGTACCGGCTGTTGAGGAGTCACCGGAGCCAGAGATTGAGGTTGCCGACGTCCAAGTTGCGCCAGATGAGGACGTTGAGCCTGAAGAGTTGGTCACAGACGAAGCTGCGGGTCAGTCACTGCCAGATCAATCAGAAGCTCTCCCCACAGAGAGTCTCCAAGCAAGGGTAGAGGATGCTGCCGAGCCTGAAGTCGCCCAACCAGAGGATGGAATTGTCCAGCCTGAAGTCCCTGTCGAGGATGTCAGCCGTCAGACACCAGAATTAGAAGCCAGCAATGTCGAAGCGCCTGGGCAGACGGAAGAAGTGCAGCAAGCCGATCCCGACGACAATGTCACGGCCAAGGAGCAAGCACCAGAACACACCGAGATTACCGAGGCCGCTGTGGCCGAAGCAGTGGAAGAGACAGTCTCTGTCGAAGCAACAGCACACAGCTCACCCAAGGAGGCCACGCCGGATCATGTCGAGATCAACGAGACAGAGATCACCAAGATGGAAGTGGAAGAGACGCAGCCTCAATCTGATGATGAAGACATGGAAGTCTCATTGATTCCTGATGAGACTACAGTCCAGGACTTTGAAGAACCTACAGTCGAGGTGCACATGGAATCTGACGACGAAGGCTCTGTTGAGCCGGCGGATGTTGACATGGGCGACCCAGACGACATGTCGGTCGACGACGAAGTCAGCAGCAATGCTGCAGACTCGGATATGGAGCTCGACGATGCCACCCAGGACCTGCTCATCCAGAGCCAGCTGTACGAAGAGTCGATGATGTACGAGGACGACCAGGCGGTTACGACTTCCATCACCACGACGCAGATGGTCGAGGAGCGGCCAGTCTCTCAGGGAGGTGATGCCGCCGCCGACACTCACCCCGAGACTGAGGTTGTTGAGACGTCACGGGTGACTGTTGAGGCGACTATCACGGAGCCCCTGGAGACGACGGACGCACAACAGGCACAAAGCGAGGACGCAATGGACGTGGACGAGCTGGAGGACGCCAAGTCTACACAGATGGCATCACCAACGCCGACTCCCCAGTCGTTTGAGGAGAAGATGGGCGAAACAGAAACCTCACAAGCCGACGAACAATTGACTCCACGCGCCACACAAACCGTCGAATCGTTCACGCAGTCGTTTGTCGAAACGCAGGCCACCGAGGTGACTGTGCCAGACGACGCTGAACCACAGACGGAGCAATTAGCGGAGCATCTCGACGACAAACGCCCCGCCGAGTCCCCCGCAGCGGCCCCAGTCCAACCCCACGAACCACTGCTTGACGATGAGGAGGAGGTGGAGAGGGAGAAGGAAGCGGCCATTCCCCACGAAGCTGATGCGGATGCGCCCTCACCTATCAACGAGGAGTCATCACAAATCCGAGACTCGTCGGCGCAACCGTCGGAAGCGCAATCGTCTCTTATCGCCGAGGACCCATCGGAGGAAGTCCTTTCCGCCGCGCAGCAGCAGCCAGCTCCGAAGCGAGGTGGTCGCGGCCAGCACCGCAGAACCAACAGCAAGGATCAGGATCCCAGCGTCAAGCTGGCCCGTGCGTCGATTGCTTCTCGACGGTCGACGCGCCTATCAGATCGCACGACGCCGGATATTCACAGCAGCGCCGCTGCCGCTCCCGTTCGAGGAATAGCGGCGGCGGCGGCAGCGACGACGACGAGCCGAGGTAGGTCGGCGAGTTTGGCGCTCAGGAGCGATTCACCTGATGCGGACGACGCGGAGGAGGATACGGGCGTGCAGCCCGCCAGGACCGCGGTCAAGTCACCATCGCGAGCACCCAAGACCGCCAAGGAGAGTGTCACCAAGGGGGGCAAGGAATCTGTCTCCAAAGAAGCCAAGACTAAAGAATCAAAGGCCAAGGATAAGGAAACCTCAAAAGAGGCTGCTGCAGCATCATCATCATCAACATCACAACCGACAGAACAATCCTCCGCAGCCCTCAAAACCCAGCTCACCAAATCCCTCCGCGCCGACGTCCCGGACTGCATCTCCCTCAAGGTCCTCCGAAGCCACCCGGGCCGCACCGTCGACGTGCTCGCCGTCGCGACCACGAACCCGCCCGAAGCGAAGCGCGCAAAGGGCGGGCCCCGCGGCATCATGCTGGCGTTTAATGTCACCGACCACTCCATCGCGCCCGCGCAGACGGTCGCCGTGCAGATTTTCCGGCCGCACAAGGCCGCGCTGCCCGTGATTCACCAGGGCGACGCGGTGCTGTTACGGAACTTCAGCGTCATGGTGCTTACGAGGAGCGGGTTCGGGTTGAGGGCGAATGACGGGTCTAGCTGGGCTGTTTTCGAGACCAGACGGCATGGGGCCGAAGGCCAGGGAGGAGGGGACGGTAGCAGTGCTGATGCGGACGCTGGTGATGATTTGCCGCAGATTCGGGGTCCGCCTGTGGAGCTGTCTGAGGGGGAGACGGGGTATGCGGCTCTGCTTAGGCGGTGGTACGCCGGGCTGGACGCCAAGTCGCTCGCGAGGTTGGACAAGGCTAACGAGGCGGCGCCGGCTGTTGGGAATGTCGGGAAGGAGGGCAAGTGATGCAGTCGCTGTGGTGTAGATTACACGCGGAGACGGAGGGGTCTACGTGTTGGGTGAAGCATTTGACTAGATTGCGTATGGGGTTCTGGCATGGGATAGACGTAGCTCGTATAGGTAGCACGGCAGAGATATCACGATAGTCGGCAATGCATTGTACAGTTGACCACATTTGCTAATTAACCCACCAGGAGCAGGAAGTGTGCGAGTGGTGAAGGCGGAATATGTTTCGTGCCGCCGTCAAACAATCAACCACCCAAGAGGCGGAACTACAAAAGCTGAATGCGCAAAAATGGATCACTAGTACACAAGTCCGAGTGGGAGTCGAAACTAGTGTATCGGACGACGGAAAGCCAAGCTCATCAGATCGTGGAGTTGGAGGTCCCGCGTTTTCCCCATGGGAAAAGTCAAGGCAAGCGGCAGCGGAAGCGGAAGCGCAGTCAGAAGAGTAAAAAGAGGCCACCAACCCAGGCAGGTTTCCGAACGGATACGGTCCGCGCGGACTAACCCCGTTTTGTTCCCTTGCCTTGCCTTGCGCGCGTTCGCGTCCAGTGTCCACTCTGACTGTCCGCTGTATTCTTGATCCGCCCGCATTCAAAAGTGCGGCCCCAACCATTCGTGACGCAGGCATTGTGGCATTGTAAGCAGCAAGCGGAGACTCTTTCCTGGCCTGCCCATAACTGTTCCGAACGGAATCACACCCGTTATCTACGCATTATCTGACTTGTCATCCAGCCCCGTCTTGCCCCTCTTTGCTCTGCCGTGCTTCTTTCCCCTGATTTGCCTTGGTTTGCAAAAAGAGGAGCCGTGGTCCATGCCGGTGACTTGTGGAGCACACGTCAGGACGGAAAGAGAAAGTCGCTGGAGATTTGACAAGCGATGGTGTGGGTGAGCTTGCGGCTTGGTGGGCTGCAAGCAAGGGTGAATTCGGACATCAGGATCGGAGCAGGTCGGCGACCCCACCCTTCGCCGGCCGGGTGGAGATTTCGCAGCAAGGTGGGGCAATTTACCGGCCTCGTCGCTGATTGGACGACTTGGTTTTCCCACGGTTTTCCTCCACATGTGTGGGGAAACTGTCTTGCTCCTCGTGTCCTGTGCGGCTTGCCCCGGGACTTGTCAACGGATGCCAGATTTTGTGCCGAATGTCTTGTGGTGATGGCAGTGCCTGCGAATGCTCCGTGGGAAGGCTGCCGATCCGGCTGCGTGCCGTATCGATGGGAGGCACGGTATCTGGCGGAACCTTCGCGACCGTTGATTGCCGTTGCATTATCGTAAAGTCATGGATGACCAACTAGCCATGCGGTTCCGATACAAGTGCGGTGAGTGAGGCTCAGAAGCGCCCCTAATTTTGGGTCGACATCCAGGATGGTCTGGCCGGCTGGTACGGAGGCAGTCTGAACCATTGGATACGGCATTCGTCATACTCCGTACCAAGAGGCACGCACGCCCGGCAAGTGGCATCGGAGCAAAGGGAGTGCGTGTTTCGTCAGGTGGATTTACTGGGGCTGCTGGGTCTAGCTGACAATGGATATTAGGACCTGCGACGGTGGACGAGATGGCTGTACCAGACTCAGTAACTGAACGAGACGAGACGGCGCTGCAGATCTTCTGCAAAACGCTCATTGGGCTCGTTGGCTTTTTGGCTTAATCTTGATGCGTCACATCTGCTGGCCATTTTTACCTGCCGTCAAGGTTTGGACGGAGTCAGGACAGGCTTTTTTTTTTTTTTTTGAGATGGTGGCCGGGATGTAGGGACGGGAATTGCGCGGTGGTACAGTACGTACAGACGTCGGCATGCATGGACGCGGTGCCGTCGAGTCGGCGCCAGGGACCTTCGGCCGGGAGAAGGTTTTGGACGGACAGGACGCAGGGGTGGAACGCTGACCGAAACATTGCGCCCACCGGGGTTCAGGGCTGCACTTGGGTGAATATTCCACCAGTGTTTCCCATTCATCCAAACCGTTCATTGCTCGCAGTCGGGACGTGGAAACGGATCGTGATCGCGTCTTTGTGTCTATGTAGAGAGTATGTAGGAACTGGACAGGGGTAACCACGCCCCAGTCCCGACTGTTGCCGAATCCAGCTGGGCGAATGGAGATATTTCCAGGTGTGGAATGGGACGTGATTGGGCGCCCGCCGGTGCAAGGGCATCGATTTTGATTACGGCAGCGATTGAATCGGGAATTGTGCATCTTGTTCCTTCGGACTAAAGGGCGTGTGTCGTGTGTCGATCCAACGAGACGACGAAACCCTGATGGATTGGGGCAAGCGCGAGCGAGAGTGTGGCCTTTGAGAAGCCGACTTGGAAGAAGCCGACTTGCACGGCTTCTTGGGCCCCTTCTGCGGGCCACCTCCAGCGGCTTCTGCTCGCAATTTACTCTCCTGACAGTGGCGGGTGTCATGATGCTGCGTTGTGCAGAATTATGACAGAACCTGAGGCTGGAGTGGTGTCCTCAGACAGTCACAAAAACGCCAGACACGCCGCCCATCGCTTGAGGCTGGCTGCGCTTGACTGCCTTTGGACGCCTGCCCAGAATGCCGCATCGGCCACGGTCCGTTGGTGGTGAGCGACGAGTGACGAGTGGTGACTAAGGGTAGGCGCAATTGACCCAATGGCACGGGTGCAGTTTGAGATGAGGTGTGAAAAATTGCAGAGCGGCTCGTGATGCTTTAAAGTTGGAGGGGGCCACTGGGGGAATGAGGGTTACGATAGGCTAAGGATTATGTAGGCGTCTGTGGTTGGATGCTGCGGTGAGCGGAGGTGGACTGGCTGTGGTGCCTGTGTCTGGGCGTGATCCTGGGAGCCCACACCGGAGCTGACTCGATTGGACCTGACTCGCGAGGCTGGCGCTGGTTAGTGATGTTGGACTCTGGTAAATAGTGACCCGGTGGACGAGGTACCTACAGGCAGGTATTCGTACTGAGGGCACTTGTTCCAGCCCTGGGCAGCCAACGGCACGGCTGCAGGTTGGTGATTGGCGGCTGGCCGTTCTCCACAAGGTGTGAGTGAGGTCAAGGGCCTGGGTTGCTGCGTTCGGGTGGAGGCCGTGGAGGAAGAGGTCATGATCCCTGGATGACGATTCGTCCCTTGGATTCCAGGAACTCTGGCGACGGGGACTGGGACTGGGACTGGAGCACCAAGGTCCCCAAGAACCCAAGCCTCCTCAAGCCAAGGCTTTGCCTATTTCCTGCTGTCGTCTGGGCCTCGTCTTGACACATACGGGATTGGGGAGAAATGGATCTGGCGGAGAAGGTCAGTCGGATACGGGGCCGCGGGAGGTGGACTGTGGACTCTGGACTCTGGACTCCTTACCTAGTACGGAGGATAGAAGGCTAGCGAGTCTCTAGCGACAACAAGGTCGTGTTTTGCGGTGAAGAAGATCGGTCTGCTGGCCTGTTTGTTGTTTTTGGGGCCGGGTGAGCTTTCTGGAGAAGGTCAAGTTCTAGGCTGTGGCACGGCGGTACGTAGCATGGCGACATGGAAGAGCTAGCGTCGATGCGGCAAGGTGGACGTGATGCAGCTGCTGAGACACATCACACTACGCAGCAGATATGGCAGGCATGGGTCCATTGTTGATAACACGAAATGGTAGGAGCACTGGAGACGCTGGACTCTGGAGGAAAGTGGTAACGAACAAAGAGGCCGCCTTCCCATAGTGCCTGCCCATCGTGTCTGGGCCCAGGAAGGAAGGAAGCAACAGCTGTCATTTGTTTAGAGCAAGTGCGGGTGGATTCACGGGAAAGAGAGGGTTTCCTACAAAGTACGTAGCTTACCTTAGGGCAGAGGGGATCGGGGCAGGATCGGCTGGGGTGCGCCAGTTGCATACGGGCGGGAAAATCAGGTATTGCCTCATGTACGAGACCGCAAACTGCAAGTCGACAGCAATCTCGAATGCAGGCCGGCGGGTGTTGTCACGATTTGATAGTTGACGGGCGCAGTAGAGTTTGGCCCTTGGGTGTTTGGACTCTGTGCTCGAGATGACTTGCCTCGACGATCTGTGATAACCTGCCCGGTGAGGGAGGCAGGCACCCCACTATGGAAGCCGCGGCGCCCCTCATGTTCAACCCCTCCCGAGCCCCCAGAGATTCGCAGCTGCTCCGTACTTCGTACTGCGTCCCAAACGGCCAAAGATGCAAGCTTGGCTGGAAGGAGGCAGGGATGGTGGGAGTTGCGATTACGACATCTGCAGTTGGCTTCACATGCGATGATGCCGAAGCAAGCCAGCGGGCGCGGCGGCTGTTTGGTTGTAGGTTGTCTGCTGATGCGCTGGACGGTGTCAAAGATGAGGTCAGGAAGTGATAGAGTTGGAGGTTGTGAGATTTCGTTTGCCATGTTCGGCGCAGTGGTTGGCTCGACCGGATGGATGGAAGGTGGCACAAAGGATATATGGGATGGAACACCACCACCACCAGGAGAAGCACACGCGAGCTTCGCCGTGGCGGACGGGGAGGCGCTGGATGAAGAATCCCATAGCGCCTGTCAGTCTGTAGTCTCGACTCTGCAGGCCGTGACACCGTGAGGTAAGCAGTCGGTGGCCGTCACCAATGGAACACATCGATGCAGAACGATGTAAGAGCGCCCTGACATTGCGCAGCGATTGCGCAGTGCGGCTTGGTTCCACGCTTCCACTTCTTGGCCAATCCCGGTCAAGGTCCAACGGCAGGCCTGGAAAACGCAACAACGTCCCGTGGTCTCTGTGTCACTGCGCTCGATGCAGGTCATGGGTCATCGGACAGACAGATTTGACAGCTCGAGGGCGTCGAGGTCATGGCGTGGAATGGGAGGGAATGCAAGCAGACAATCTCGGTGGGAAAGTGCATCGTGGCGTGGCATCGTGAAGAGGCAGAGCTGGCGAAATCGAGGTGAGGGAAGGTGAGGTATTTCGTGTGGAGTACGTACAATCTCCCCGATACGTACTCTGTCTACTGTGGTACATACTTTGTAAGGAAGGTACCGCAAACTTCAGAATCTGGCGCTCCGTCTCATCCAGCATCCTTGTCTC